GAAAAAGTGAAATGGAGTGTGAACGATTGATTCACAGGGTTACTGAGGAAATAATATGATAAAACTTTATTCTAATGGAGCACACCTCAAACCTAGGCATCCCAGAGCACTTTTATAAGAAATAAAAACAATATGTATGCAAAAACAAACCAATTTAAAATTAATTATAATAAGAACAGCTAGACGGATATTTTAAGTGTGCTTTTAGTCAAATCTAGTACATAAAGTTTCAAAGGCTCCACTGTGAAGATCAGAACTGCTGTATCAGCTTGGGTCAGAAATGATGCTTATACTATATTTGTGAATCTTCCATAAAGACGTGAAAGCCTACTTTATACTTTGTGACGGTATCCGCAGTTGACCACTTGGATATGAAAGTGGATACATTTCATACAGTGGAAATCACAATTGCATTATTTATAAATAAAAAGGGATCCTTCTTTTCTGTTTATAATTGTATTAGAATGTATTTTTCTGTATGGTATTTGTATTATATTTGTTTGTGTACCCTCTATATATTTCTGCTTATTAATGAAATGAAAATGTTGTTAAGTGCAAATACTTAATGTACTTTGAAGTCCATTTAGTTGGATAACATTCTAGTAGCCTACTAACTGACTCTTTCTGGCCGTGACTTCTTTCAAGCTGTCTCCTGTTTTCAGGCACTGTATTAAAGCATGTATGAAAACTGTGAAAATGGCAGTTTTCCCATTTTGGTGTCCCAGAAAGGTCTGTGTAAACAAAATCTCAATTCCTTCCAGATTTAAAGTAAGCCACAGACCCTGAGAACAGTCATTAATTCCATGCCAGGTCGTAAAATAGATTATTGTATAGCTGGAGAATGGACGGAATTTCCTTGTGTTTCAAGTGTTATAAAGATGAGTTTCTTTTGCCAACAAAACTTGTGATAGTTATTTGACCATTTGTGTCAGTGTGACAGAAATGATGTATGTACAACGGTATATATTGTTTTAGTGAGTCTGAAGCTGTGTTTATATTTTCTAGCAAATGTTTTCAAAAGACACTGTCAGTGCTATTGTGAACATAAAAGTAAGCAGATGTTGTGAGGCTGAGGGTCGTAGCTCTGTGATGATGACAATGGAAGTGACAGCATGTCAGGTGCAGGGTTATGTTTTCACCAAGAACAGACTTTGATGAAAATCACAATCAGCTATATTAATGCATTAACAATGAGTGCTTGAAAGATGCTTGGCTAAATGTCATGAAACAAAGACTTGATCTATTTTAAGGGCATTAAAAAGTTCATGACCATGTACTGGGAATAATGGTGTCTGTGAAATTAATGAGCTAAATGTTTTGAATTTAAAATGATCATCAATATTGTAAACTTTTCAAATCAGTGTGCTTAGTGGAGAGGTTAAGAATTGTTGTCTTATTATAAAGAAGAAATGCAGGCTGAAAGGAAAATTAAAGAAAACCTAGGTTTTCCTGAGAGACAATCCTGCTGATCTGTCTTTGTTTCCTTTTCCTCAGAAATAAAAGATACATTTTCTGTGATTAGCTCAAAGCTCAGTATAACCGTAGTTTGTTATTCACACACTGTTGTGCCTAGATGGAAACTAAGGGTGTTGGTGAAGTAGCCCTGAAACAGGATTTGACCCCAATGACATTGTGAAGTAGAACCCCTCCTCCCTGTCTATAGCATTCCATTGTTTGATATGACACATTCTTTCTGTAAACTCTGCACCTTAATTGTAGGCGACCTTACAATGGTTTCTGCATGACTAAAGCAAAGACTAATTTCCTCTTTATTACAGCTTAATATTTACATTACAGACAGAAATACAAGAGAACCATTGAGCTGGTATAAAACAATGCCAGTAATACCATTTTTTTTCAAAAGGAATTAGTCTAATTATATTACAGGAGCACAGAGAACTTAAATATAAGTTATTTTAAGTCTGTGAGTTATACGTTTCTGTTTGAGCAACAGTATATTATATTACAATACATTGTATCATCATGATGATCCACTTTTAGTTAGAAAAAGACTACTGTGCTGCTTATCATAATCCATTTTTATTCCGTCTGTGCTTTTGACAGCTTTGAAAAAAGCCTCTCCTACCCTTTCCTAACTGTTTCTGTTTAATGGTACTTGCTGTTCCTACCATTGTCAGTGAACAAATGAGTGCATACAGCTTTTATCAAACTTGCTAAAAATGCCTCATGGTAATGCAACAGATGAATTAATATCAATACTGTAGTTGAAGACCCGCAGCACTCATTTAAGGAAGAGTTTACATTTATGTAGCATTTTTCATCAAAATTGAGGAGTTCCAAAGTCCATCACCCTTCAGCTCTAAATGAACTGGTCTTGCATTGTAACAGAGCCCCATAACTATACCACAACAGCTAGTATGCTGTAGACTGGGTCTAATAGTAGACTTTTAAGGACAAGGTTCCACGGGTCAGATATTATAAACCTTAATCCTTACCTTAGTCCAGAAAAAGCATTAATTTTTCCACAATGTTCAGTGGGGATCATGTATTTGTGTCATGTAAGACATAAAATATGTCAAAATGTGCACACACTTTTTTTTCTGTGAGGAAATGTTCCACTGGCTCCCATTCTAAGTGTATTCATTATTTTCTACCAAAATGAATTTTTCATCACAGGATGAAAGAAGTCCCAAAACAATGTAAAAAATGTTATTTACATTGTGAAGACATTATTATGTTTGTCAGTAATCGTTTTCTCAAATTCTTCCACTTCCAAACATGCATGCAGAAAAAAATGAATTTTCAAAATTGTACAGGTACCAGGATCTGACAGGTTTTACTAAGAATTACTCAGAATATACAGCACTATAAACACAGTTTAATGTAATTTCTTAATTATTTTAATAAATATACTGCTGAATCTAATTTTTATATAGCATATGAAGTTTGACTTTCTTGAGAATCAAGAGAGCAGGTTGTATCCACCATCATTTAATAATGGAGCTGAAGATGGAATCCTTAGCTGCACAGTCCAGCCAATGCATGTAATCTGGCCAAGTGAGAGTGAAGTACTGTACATAGCACTTGCCAAAACCATGCAAACCACACTGACATTGAGGTTGTTGTTTTTAAACATTCTGCCTTCAAACATCATTAAAGGAGAGCACTGTTTTCTGAGGAAACATTAGTTTTGGAAGGAGTTTTGCACACACAACAGTAATATCAACACTTTAATAATGTGAAGGTTACTGAATCAAAAAAGGAACTGATATAGCAAGTTAAATGCAAAATTTGATTAGAGAACATTTATTGTCATGACGATTTAAAATATTTGCTCATTTGCAGTTATGCAGAATGTCATCTGCAATTAGAGTTCACTGCATAAGGCTGTACTCCAGATATTCTTTGATGTCAGATGCCCTGCCTTCAAACCTCTTAGGTCTTCTAGAAAGTTTTTGTAGCTGATGGATTTGGTTGCTCAGATGTTTTCTATTTTGTACCTCGGCATACTCAAAAGATGCAAAATACAAAAATATGAGTTCATTTTCACATATTGATAGCTGCAGACTCACAGTGAGTTATAACTGACAGCCTGTGGAGTATATTCTGAAAACAACTCTCTTGGTCTGTGGTTTGATTTTAGCGATTCTAAGGTTTAAGAGTTAAAGATAGATATCAACAGAGTTTTTAACAAGCACACAGAACATACTAGGAAGCATTTTAATGATATGAAGGATGATATGGATATAAAAAAATCACAGGAGTACCTAAAACATTACAGTTTAAAATGCTTCAAAGCCTGCCTGTTTCTTTTAATATTATTCACTGTTTCAAATTAAATTGTTAAATAGCTAGTGCCTTGTACTTATGCTTACAAGCCTAATAATTATTTGTGAAGTTGATAGTGTTTGTGACATTTTACTGAAGCACTCTAGAATATAAAATTAACAACAGAAAAAAATCATAGTTCAGATGTATTTTTCTTTGTGAAACAGGTCATATGGACTGTGAGGCTGTGATTAAAAGAAAAATTTCTGCTGGAAGACCTTCAGAGTATAATGGTTTTGTCTCCTTCATATGACTGAAGCATTTGTTCCCCTGCTGATTTCCTTTTTTTCTTATTAAATGATTTCTGCCTCACAGCAACCTGAGTTGAAAGACATGGTGTGTGAATTTGTCAGTCCATTAATCACAAGCTAAGAGTTACAAGCCCAACTGATTACAACCAGTAATGATGATCACAGTAGCAGTCCAAAAATAGTCTAAAAATAACTGGTTAATTCTTGGATTTTTTTATCTTTTAGCATAAGACTCAAACACTGCTGAATATGAATGAAAATGAGGTGTGCTCTGCATAGTACTTAACTCCACATAATGCCAGTCAGCAGAAAAGGCTGATTAAAACGGTCCAGTAAAGCTGCTGCAGTAGAGTCACCTAGTGGATGTCTGCTGGTAATGCGTTTTTTGACCTGGTTGAAATAAAAAAAACTAAAATGCTTGGTAACATTTCTTGTTTGATAAGAGTTAATTAAGGATACAGTCTATATTCATGTACTGTAAATGTGGTTTGCATTGCTTTTGTTGACAAAGCCTAAAACAATACTTACCCGGTTAAGAACTGTTATTTGTTTTTTTCCATACAGTGTGTCTGTACTTATGTGGTTCGTGTGAACATTCAAAATAAATTGACTGTTTTGTAGGGAAACAAGTAAACAATTGCTTTCTTTGTATACATCTTGCAGCATATAGCCTTTCATTTTCCTCGATTATATTGTGCCACAGAGCTGAATTCATGTTGTTATGTTTAATACCAACGGTAGTGCCTTTGTTGTTTTCCAAATCTTCTTACACATGAAATTTGGGAAAGAAATGGACTTGCATGTAAAATGGTGAAAGAATGTAATCCTGCTTATTAAGTCAGGTTAATGAAGTCACTGATTGTTTTGTAAGTTAACACATTTCTTTTAAAACCCATGGTTCAATAGCAGGTGTTCAGCTGGTCCATAATGCCCAAATGTATTTTTTATTATATATTTCAGAATCCATAAACTAGAGCGGCTGAAGCCTTGCAAGTGGAAAACGCAGGAAAAGGTGTTTTAAAAGAAACAGTTTGAAAGCCAGGGAGCCCATGGAAGGAGTCCCTGTCCACTGATCCACCGGGACTGAAGGTCACCGACAAGGATCGGAATCATGTCTGCCTGCAACACATTCACAGAACACGTGTGGAAACCAGGCGAGTGCAAGAACTGCTTTAAACCCAAAAGCCTGCACCGCCTGACTGAGGGGGTCTTGAAGAAAGGGGCTCAAGAACAACAACAGAACCAGAGCACTTCTGGAGGGAAGCCCAACGCCAACCTTAGCAACAACTATCAGCGGGGCAGTGCACCTGTGCGCTCGGGACATTTCCGTCCACCTGTTGCCAAGAAACCTACTATTGCTGTCAAGCCAACCATGATGTTGTCCTGTTCAGCCACCATTGATTCAGAGGGCAACCATGGACAAGCAGACTCTGGTGAACTGGGTAAAACCTCTGCTTTTGCGGTGTGGAACCGTAACGGGATGAACCGAAAGAGGCCTGGTGGTGTCAACAACAATGAGGGGGAGGAAAGCGGAGAAGAGATAGAAGGATATGGTCTACGGAGTTCCCGGGCACCCAGTGGTAACAACAACAATGGCCTGACAGAGGTGCTGAAGGAAATTGCTGGTTTGGGCTCAGGCCCCGGATCCAGCTCTGGCTCCAGCTCTAAAGACCTTTTCCTAGGCCGTATCAGTAGTTGCTACAAGCGCTCCTTGGAACGAGGTTTGCCTGCCTCCAGCTGTTTGGCTATGGGCAGTGGAACAGGAGCATCTCAGAAGCATGTTTCTCTCAGTGGTAGCACAGAAGTTATCAGCTCAGAAGGTGGGCGTTTCTGTTACCCGGATTTCTCCAGTGATGGTGAGGAGGATGAAGAAGAGAGCGATGAGGAAGAAGAGGGTGAGCATGAGAGCTGGGATGAAAGTGATGAGGAGCTTCTGGCGATGGAGATCCGTATGCGAGGGCAGCCTCGTTTTGCTAATTTCCGGGCCTCTACCCTCTCACCTGTGCCATTTGCTGTTGGTAAGAAGTGGAATACGGTTCCACTTCGCAATCGATCCCTGCAGAGAATATGTGCTGTGGATTACGATGACAGTTATGATGAAATTCTCAATGGCTACCCCTCAGAGGATTCCAATGGTGGTCACATACTGGGCCCTTATGCCCAGAGTGACCTGCAAGGCAGCTGCTTCTTCTCCAACTCTGAGACTACCACCTCCCCTGAATCATCATCTTCACTACCAGAAGATTCACGAACCACTTCCAGTAGTGGTAGCAGTGCCCCTTGCCATCTACCTAATGGTTTGCCCTCCTCTGCAGCATCTAGAGAGCCAGACTTTGAGAGTGTGAGTGAAAAAGAACAGGTTCCTAGAGCAGCAAAGTCCCCTAAAGCCTCAGAAACCCACAAAGCGATTCTAGCCATCCGGCTTGAGGAGCAAGATGCCGGTCAGAAGGATAGTGTAGCCTTAAAAAGTCCTTCTCTTCCCCAAGCCCTTCCAGGACAGCCAGTCACAATCAGCTTTAGTCCTGGGGAAGAGCAGGCCAAACCCTATCGAGTGGTGAGCCTTGAAAAGCCAGCCATGTGTAAGCCCTATACAGTGGTTGATGTTTCTGCCTCTATGGCCAGCACAGAGAGCCAAAATCAAGATGCCGTTTCCAAAATGAAAGGGTCATCAGTCTCCTCAACTCCCCCATCGACCCCAAGCTCTCCCTTAGGTCAGCCTCTGTCGCCAAAATCTCCTACCTCTCCAACTACTATTTTGACTTCCACTGCACTCAACACCTCCCGTAAGAAATCAAGTGCCATCCGATACCAAGAGGTTTGGACCTCCAGCACAAGCCCTCGTCAAAAGATCCCCAAGGTAGAGCTGGTGGGAGGGTGTGCTGCAGGTCCCGCTGTTCCCTACAGGCACTGTAGCCACAAGTCTGCACCTACCTCCCCAACAACAGGTCTATCCTCTTCCTCCCGCACAGTTCCTGTTAAGTCACCAAACCTGTCAGAGATCAAGTTCAACAGTTACAACAATGCTGGTATGCCCCCGTTTCCCATTATTATTCGTGATGAGCCTACCTATGCTCGAAGCTCTAAAAATGCTGTTAAAGTACCCATTGTTATTAATCCTAGTGCTTATGACAACCTGGCTGTTTACAAGAGCTTTTTAGGCCTAAGCGGAGAACAGTCACAATCAAAACCAGGTTTAGAGTCTCGAGTAACTAGTCACACTTATGAGGAGATTGGGTCCTCAGAGAATATCCCATCCTCTCCTACAGAAACTCCTCTTAATGGAAAAGTAGTTAAAGAGAAAGCTGTTGGGGAAGAAAGGAAACTTGGCAGTGTTGCACAGAAGATCCTGGAAGTTAATGCAGGATCCACTACAATTTCCAATAGTACAACAAATGCTATTGCTTCTATAACTGCAGTCACCACTCAGGGAGGCTCCCAAGCCAAAACCAGCATCACAGTGGCCACTCCTGGACACAATTGGAAGGTGAGTGGTGAAACTATACCTAGAAAAGACGGTAACAGTGAACCCCAGATGTCATCAGGACCTGGCACTGCCCATCGTGAGAAAGCCAGCACTGTTCTGTCACAGATTGTAGCTTCTATTCAACCACCACAATCTCCACCAGAGTCACCCACAGTGCAGAACAAAACCTGTAGTGCTGAGGAGCTTTACTCCATCCCACCTGATGCCACTAAGGAAGCTCCCTCAAGGCCGAAATCACTGTTTTCTCCAGCAGAGGGATGCCTGCCCAAACCTAGAAAAGACACACCTACAAGACAGCTTCCAAAATCCCAAAATAGCACAGCTGTCCCCTCTGCAAGCCCCAAGTCTGAAAACGCCCCCTTCCCCCCACCTAGATCCACCTCCTCTCCATATCATGCCAGCAACCTGCTTCAGAGGCATTTTGGTAACTGGTCCAAACCAACAAACAATAGCTCTTCACGGCCAAATGAGGCAGAATCTGCCCAGGCAGGGGAAGGCAGGCGGACAGCAGCTGAGAGCGCTAAACCGAAACGTTGGATCTCATTCAAGAGTTTTTTCCGCCGGAGGAAGGATGAGGATGAGCAGCAAAGGGAGAAGCCCGAACGTGAGAAGGAAAAGGGCAAGTTAGTAGGTCTGGATGGTACAGTCATTCACATGCTACCCCCACCCCCAGTCCAGCGTCAGCACTGGTTTGCTGAGGCCAAAACAGATGATCCTAATCAGAAGCCCACCATCATCTTCACATACAAACCTGAAATGAGTCCTGCAACTGAAGGTGAGCCTGTTCAGATATGTGAAGAAGAGAACAAGGACAATAAGATTTTCAAGTCCCTGGAGAGGCCAGAGAATAAAAGAGAACAAGCTGTAGGATCTTCACTGCCCCAGAAGACAGTCAGGTGAGTGAACCTCTAATTGATCCAAATTAAATGTTTTATTAGTTTATACCTTTAACTTAAGTCTTAATTCCAGTCTGGGCAGTGGTAGAACAATTTAGTGAACAACTTCATTTCTACAGTTATGTCAGTATTTACAAAATTCATGTCTGTTATTGTTTTCTTTGATTTATGTTTTGTTATATTTGTGAAGATGGGGATACAGTCTGTTTTTAGCTTTTTATTAGTATATAATTGTTATTTACAAAATTGATATACAGTCAATTAACTGAAATTGTACATTGAAGGTTGATTTTTGATGTTTTGATGATTTTTGATGCTTTCAAAAATTAAATACAGAATGAATTATTAAATAATGAACAGTGGACTAAGCACTGTACCAGGAAGCATCCTGACTCTGATGAGAGCTAACCAAAGCCATTGTATGAAGGTGTTTGCATTATATTATACTAACAAAGCTATTAGATGAAAATATTAAAATGTCAATGTATAAATGTCTAAGAATAAAAACTAAATGTGAACTTGGATTTTCACAGCTTGAAATATTGGCAAAGGTTCAATTGCAAGTTATGGAAACATCCAGTCTTCTGTAAATGAGAAACTAATCTAAGGAGCTGTTTGATGAATATAATAAATATTACATTGTAATTAATGTTTTTAACCATTATTCCAAGCTTACAGATTCCATATTTACAGTTTTGTTGAGAAATCATTATGTTACAGGTGCTCTTTGATAAAGTTTCAGAGATATTGTGCTAACAAAATGACTTTTGACAATGACAAGAACAAACTTTTAAAAAAAATTCAGATATCTGAGATTTCTCAGTGAGGAGGCGTTATCAAAAGTTTTGAAACAGAGGTGACTTAATGCATTGTCCTTGATTCCTAAATGACTTAATGCCCTGCCATGTCACAGCTCTCGGCAGCTTGGCAGTTTCTCGGTTCTGCAGAGCTGGCACTTGTTGGCATTCTCCTCTAATTGACTCAAGGAAACATATTGACATTCAAGGCCTCCTGCTGAGGAAGCCCCAAGTGTCAGGTTGATGCAAAAGGCAAATTCTGAAGTGGTCTACTGCACAGAAACACATCCCTACTGAGACGTAGCTCTAATAACTTTAGACCGCTCACCAGAAGCACAGCATGTGTGCTACAATGCCGTTTCTATCCAGGGAATCGTGCTTCATTTGTTATTAAGCACATTGTTCTCAGAGCTAAAGGCCACCACCTTTAAACATAATGTCATGAATTGCCAAAAGCAGCCGGATGAAAGTAACACCCACTTTCACATTTCGTCATGGACATGCTTTTATTAGGATGTTGCATTTTTACTTATTATCCGGTAAGCTGTTCTTTTTCTTAATTATTTTTGTTTCAGAAATTTTAAATGAACAATGCAACTTTCTTCCCTAGTGTAGCTTACAGTTTTTATCTTTAAAAACACAGTGAGGGGCATCAATAAAATAAAAATAGTAATTCCAAATGTATTTTGAAAAGAGGATGAAGAATGAAATGCAGTAGAAGTAAAGTAATTATTTCAGGGTTCATTGATATTAATCACAGAACAACTTGAAACCATTATGTAAATGTAGTCAAGGTAAAGGTATGGCAATTTATGTGATGCTGTTCATTTAATTGTCATAGTATGTAAGACTTAACAGGTTTTCAGAGCACATTAGCTGGTGTGTGGGGAGTGTTCTGGCACACTATGGCTGCCGTCACATCATCCAGGTGGGGCTGCACATTGGTGGTGGTGGAGGGGAGTCTCCATTACCTGTAAAGCGTTTTGAGTGGAGTGCCCAGAATAGCGCTATATAATTGTAAGCAATTATTATTATTATAATTATATTTAGGAGCTGAGTTTAAAGCAAGTAATAGGAATCTTTCATTTACATGTAGCCTTTAATTACCACAGCAGCTGATAGAAACCTTGTAGTAGCAGTGTGCATTATATACCACTAAATTGGTGTGTGATGCAAAAGGGATATGAGAAAAAGTTTACAAAGCCGTTAATGTAAACATTACTTAATGAGGTAACCTTCAGCAAGGGTTGAAGCACAGAAGTCATTTAATGCGTCTCTTGCTTTATTATGTATACTGTGAGAATGTGTTAGTAGGACTTAGTAAAATGTGATTAAAAGTCCTTTACATATATGATTTTTGGATTGGATGATCCAAGAGATAAGAGCACTGCAAGGTTACAACACAGTGAATCAGGGCATGAATTGATTTTCTAAAGAATGGGTTAGTTACTGGATGTTCTTTTGCCCCTTACCTAAGGTTTTAAGTTTCTATATCTTGATTTTTGTACCATTAACCACCCATTGACATCCAGGTGCTTAAAATTATAGCTGTGATTTTATCCTATCCATCTTGAATTAAAAAATCCTACTCCCCTTTCCAGTGTTAAAGGAGGTGTGACTCATGTCTTAGTTTTACTGCAACTGTTGTATTTGTTTTTCTCTGTCACCTCTAAGCTCTGTACTGGCAAATGGGTTGTCAATCCAATGGGGACAGTAAGAGACATGAGTCAGTGGCTTTCTATGTTAATCATCACTCATGAAAGGGCTCCAGTGGTAGAGAATAAGGCTGATCAGTGTACTATGTTGCTTCCTTGTACAAATTGTGTAATCAACATTTATTTAAAAATGTCCCTACTCTCAGAACCACAGCCTCATGACTATTGTTCTGTTAGCATTAATGCATAGTATATAATAGCTACATAGTTGCATGTCTGCAAGGCTTTATTATTGCAGACAGGTTTAGTTGTACTGCCTGTATTAGAATCTAGACCTCAGTTTAGGGTGTAAACATTTCTTCTTTCTGTATCAAGGGGTACTGAAAACAGAGCTTTTTGGGATGCTGTTGAAGAAAATAATTGGGGATAACAGACTGAAGTTTAGTCAGGTTCTTGGCCAGTCTTGTCAGTGGGCCATGCTGAAACAAACCATCTTGCTAAATGCATTCTGTAGCAAACATGGTCTAAGGTTTTACAGAGCAGATTTCTTTCATGATGGGAGGAGGCGTCAAGCATTAATGCCCTTCTTCTTTTTCCAGCCTCATGTGAGATTCTGCAATAAACATGCTGTTTCAGATAGATGTGTGGTTTTACTTTTGTTAATTCCCTGTATAAATGAACCCCCTATGACTAGAATTTAACCCTTTCCCTTGGCCCATCAACTCTGGCAACTAGTCAAAAGTAACGTGCTATGCCTCATTTCTAGCTAGACCTACTGTACCTACTGCAATTAGTTCTTCATCAGTTAACACCATCAAATGCGCCTTGCTTCCTCTTTCCCAGTCCTTCAGTTGTTAATAAACACCCCCTCCCCAAACTCTGCACTCCCTCCCCAGTCCCAAGTATATCTCTCAGCCATTAGCATTTATTTCCTGTACATTAAACTTCCTCTCAAGTTTTCTCCATAAATTAAGACATTATTTTAGTATTATTCATAAAGCTTAATTTAAAAAATTCAAATAGCAAAGGTGGGATTTTCAGAAATAGTGTCTTTTTGGACATCAATTTGATCAAGTAGAGAAAGAGTTAAGTGCCTCTCCCCAGAGATGAATGCTGTCATTGGCTGGCCTTTCAAGTCAGGTATACGTCAGGCAGGTGAGCAATCTCTAGATTGCTGCACACACCAGAAGGGCTGGGACAGCCCTCGCTCGTAGATTTGCAGGATGGGCCTGACAGCAGTTTCTCTTTTCCAAACATGCTTAATGGAATAAAGAAATAATTTCTGAAAGCGTCTTTCATGGGGAACTGCGTGAGCCAGTACAGTGGGTAAGCTGGACTTGTACTCTGCTTTCTTTTCAAATTTTCACATATGGTCTTGGTCTCTCTCATTGGTTTAAATGGGAGTTGGCTTTTTTTTTACTGCTGTGTTTACACAGCCCTGTTGCTTTTAAAAACTCTGCTGAAGTTCTTCGGGCTGCTTCAACAAGTTGGATCCGGATACTGAAATGAAATCATAAAGCTCAGAAAAGTCTTGAGGCTAAACTTACCTGTTTGTTTTTGACAGTGTCTTTCTCGTTCTTATTGTGATTATTAATATAAAAACGAAATGGTCCTACTCTGTTTTTCATTGGGCATTTTTTCCTTTTCATACCCCTGTATGGATTTGAATCCAGAGGTATTTGATACTGATGAATATTAAAGTAACGCAGGCCCATATTGTTAGTTATCTAAGGTGAAGTAATAGCTGAACTATTATCACTTTGTGTTGTTAAATTCTTGACTTTGGTGATCAGCTTAGATTGCATTCCTTGGTTAGTATTACTCATATATGGCAATTGTGTCTCTTTACTCTGTGTGGAAATTGTTCTATAAGCAGTTCCATATGCTTTGTTTGTTCACATTTGTTAAGAATGTAGCTGCAGGGGAGTACTTGCATCCCCATTCCCAACCTATATTTCAACCAATGCCCCAGTTGCACGGACATGCTACCGACTACTTTCTATGAGAAAGCGTTTTTCAAAGATTGTGAATTGTAGCTGTTAATAGCAATATAAGATCTTCTGATTTGCAAATAATGTATTTTCACATGTACCCCATCACATTCAATGAAGGTAATTTGTTGTTTGAAATGTGAGTGATTTATTCTTCCTACATTTTGGTTTGTAGATCCTAAATTGCATCAAACCTGATTTGGGAAATCTTCTGTTAGTAGGGAAAATATAAGTTTCTAAGTTAGCAATGGAAACAATTGGTGAAATGATTTTAAGAAAAGAAAAACTAAGCAAACATCTAAAATTGTATTTATTAGCTTCCAGGTTTCATTACCAAAAAATAATCCCTCCAGGTAATTATTAAAACCATCTTCACTCAAAGCTCTTGGAAGTAATCCTAAATGATGGAAGGTTCACCTTCTCAGTTTGCATTCTAAAGAAGTATGCAAATCAATCCTGTTAGATGGACAGAGGAAATGTTTCAAGATATACTGTGTCACCCAAATGCTTTTATACAATTTTCCAACATTTGTTTCCTTCTTTATACTCTTTAAGATGCCAAATTCTTTTATATGTCTTGTCAAAATCTAAATAAAAATATAAAAGTATTCAGAGGATAAGCAGCAGTAGAGCAGCTGAAATTACTTTTCTGATTATTTCAGAGGCCTTTAACTTGTAATTTGCTGGTTACTCTAAAATATATTTTTGTTCCAGCTGTATATTTTTCTTCAATTATTATGTGTATATTCAGCTGATATGACAATAATAATGTGTCATTGCTGTTAGGATGCGTGCTCTATTTGTAGTATGTATAAAGGCATGGCTAGGCTTTTTTCTGAAAACATAAGACATAAGTAAATTAGTAAGTCAAATGAATTATTGTACAGACTGCGTATTTAATTCAAAATGAGATAAACACAATTACTGTAAATAAGGGAACAGTAATGCATTGATAGTCAATTAAGTATCCTGACTTGTCTAATATTATGTGAGCCATCTGTTTTTAATAATTCAATTTTAATACAGATAAACTTTTCTTCCAACACAAAGAGAATGCCATAGTGTATGCATGCTGCTGAAGTACCAAAGGCCACTAGGTGTCATTTCCAGATAATAATTGTCTTATTACTGGGTATTGGTGGTGCAGAAACAGATAGCTAGCTCATGGGAATTGAAGCATCAACACTACAGATTATTGAATAAATCAATTTCTTTTTTAATGAAAATATTAATTTTAAACTTACACAAATGTTTTTTTTAAATCCATTTTCTGAATTGAAAAAATGTATTATTATAATAGTTTTATTTTGATTTTTTTTCTTCGTTTGATGGATCGTGTTGTAGCAAGTTGATGTTTCCAAAGGGATTTCATAATATATATAAACATCCAACACCCAATTGGGAAAGAGGCAGTCTGCGTGAATTTGTCAGTACATTCTGAGGCTCACGAAATGGCATGTTCGAAAGTTGTTATGATGAAATATTTTTGGCATATAGGCAGTGTACCTTCATATAGTTACCTACAGTAACTTTAGTCTTTTCACCTTTAGTCTTTCAGTTTTTTCAAACTTTAGTTTATAGCTTTTAAATCTACATTTTGTCCACCTTCATCCAATTAAGAAGTAAAAATGTTCATTAGAGGATGGGGCGGTGGCACAGTGATTGCCTTGTAGTGGTGGATCCCGGGTTCGTTTTTGAACATGAGGCGCTTTCAGCATGGAGTTTGTACAGCATGTTCTCCCCACGTGCGTGCTTATGTGGTTTCCTGCGGGTGCTCCGGTTTCCTCTGGCAGTGCAAAGGCATATGGGTAGGTTATCTGACTTCTGGGAAGACGATTCCTGGTGTGAGTGTGAGCATGTCTGTCTGTGTGTGCCCACCAACACGGGGTGTATCCTGCCTTGCAGCCATTGTTTGCAGGGATAGGCCCCCCGTGACCCTGTTTTGAAGTGGTTAGACAATGAATGAATAAATCTTTATTAGAAACACTACTCAATTGTTCTTGCAAATTCTCCGTATATGCTTGAATATGAATTATAATTTCTTATTACTAATTTCTTCGTACAGATCAGAGAAAAACAGATTTATCTACAGTATATTAAGGAGAGATTGCCATGCATTTGCCATTTTAATCCTTTAAAGCTTCTAAGATTTGCTTGCCTTCACATGTTAGCTAGGAGAATTGCCAACACATCTTTTTCAAATAAGCTCACTTTTTAGTCTTCTCCTTTGTTTTAGCAGTGCTGACCCTTTATCTCTTAAAAAAGCGTACAGCAAATCATCAGTTCTGTGTGTGCATATGATTCTGAAGGTTCTCAATGAGTTCACTGTGCAGTTCAGTACAAAATGTTTTTTTTTCATTTTATTTAAAAAAAAGTTTAATTGATCTTTTCCATGGTCACAAATGCTTAATCACAATGATGCCAAAACCAGTTAGTCAATTTCCAAAAACAACAGTCTTCATTTTTCTATAAACGTACTTTCTGTAAAGATTCATAGAGTGATATGTTTCTTCTGAGGTTCTGTATATAAAAGATAATCTTCAAGTAAGTTTGTTTGTAGGTAATTTTATATTTAATAACTTCATTAACACTCAAACACTGTATACGATGGTGCCAACACCTATCTCTTCAGAAGGTATGATAACTACTGTGGTATTTTCCTCATAAGCTTCTATTAAAACTAGGACAGCAGACAGAACCCGGTGGCAGAGCATCACCTTGCAGTGTATGTTGTGTTTTTCAGCCAGGTGCCAGGCGAGAAGAACGAGAGTGGCGTTCCTGCTGCTGCCTCTCTCCCTGCCAAGTCTGAGTTCCCCCAGAGAGATGAACAAGTGAGCGCTGCCACACCAGCCTCTGTGAGCGAGGGCACAGGCAGCCTGGAGGAGCGGGAGGAGGAATGCAGTGACTCTCCAGCTTCTAGCACCTGCAGCGCCACCTACAGTAACTTGGGTAAGCAGCAATCTCTTGAGTAATTCTGTTCATTTAGGATTTCAACCTGCATCTAGGACGATACTATGAAACGAACAATTTAAACCACAAAGTACTTTCTCCCTTGGATCTTTATTTGTGAAAAGCTAAAGTGCAAATATGGGAAACAAAGAGGTGTTTTTTCTACTGTTTATGTTACTGATTGTTTTATGTTGTATATACTGCAGTGTTTTATAGGAAAAAAAACAATTTAAGACTTTGTGTTATTAAAATGTGTAACAAAAACTATATTCCAGGTGAAAAGTATTAGCAAAAGAATAAATGGTAATCCAGATGATACCCATTTAGTGAAAAAAAATGGGATAGTTTGTGAATGCCAAATAAGCTTTAGGTATAATGGAAGTCTTTTATGGCAGAGCATTTTTTTTTAAAAAAATGACAGTTGTTTGATATTTATATATTAGAACCTCCACTGCAATTCTGTCTTATGCATGTAGTGTGTAATTGATTTTAAAGAGGCCATGGGGAAATGTGTTCCATGAGGGTGCCTGATTTCCATGGGTCTTTTCTAGTGGTTGTAAACACTTGCATTCTACAACTGCAGAAGCAAGCTTTTCAAACTGCCTGGATTTGAATTTGCTCTTTGTTACTTTGTAATTGAATTTGGTCTTCGTAATTGTAATTGTGTTTTGAACTTGCTCTTCATTAACTTTGGCTTATTAAAAGATTATGCAGATTTCAAGCACTAGGCATTTAGCTTTTTGTCATGGAATAAAACATGTTGAGCATTGAGCCTAGCTGTTTTTTTCACAGAAGGAAACATAAATCCTGGTTCTGCTATATATGCAACGTTGAGAGTTTTAAGAATTATTAGGAGGGAAATATTATTGCTAATATTTCAGAGAAATTTTAAACATTTGTCGTGATTGGTCCTACTCTGCTTCTCTTTAGTTCTAATTAAATCATGTAGTGACCCTGTATTGTTCTAGATTATAGTAATAGGTTTATTCCATGCTGAAAAAAAGAAGAAAGAGAACACAACGTTTCGGCCGTGGAGCCTTCTTCAGGTGTGTGACACCTGAAGAAGGCTCCACGGCCGAAACGTTGTGTTCTCTTTCTTCTTTTTTTCAGCATGGAATAAACCTATTACTTGTTCCTTTGCAGCCTACGCATGCTGACGCAGCTACCCACTTGTTCTAGATTATGAGAGCATTAATCACTGGGACAACCTAAGTACCAACTGGTAGATACAGTTTTAGATAGCTCTGTCATTGTAGTCATCTGTTTTTTTGGAAATGCTGACTTCTGATACATTGTTGTTATTTACAATTTATAATATCTGCATATTAACTGTTGTGTACAAAATTTATCAGCAGTGAACCTGATATGGCCATAGAAATCCCTGGAGTTGTGATTGTGTTGCCTTACTACTTAATTTGTTAAATAGTTTCCATTCCTTTATAGGCATTTATTATAATAATAATAATAGTAATAAACTTTATTTTATATAGCACCTTTAAAAGTGGCTTCTCAAAGCGCTTTACAGAATGACAACAAGAATAAATAAAAAGAATTGTTTAGAGAAGGTGACTCTCATATCCTTGTGCAGAGAGTTCCAGAGCTCGGGGGCATAGCAGGAGAAGGCCCTGTCGCCCATACAATGTAGACGGGCTTGGGGGACTGTTAGGAGAGCAGGATTAGAAGAGCAAAGGTTACGAGGTGGGGAGTAGGGCAATAAAAGTTCAGACAGGTACTGAGGTGCCAAGCCATACAGAGCCTTATAGGGGAGCATAAAGTCCACACGGAATTTGACAGAAAGCCAGTGCAAGGACTCCAAAATAGGAGTAATGTGAACACTTGCACTAGACCTGGTCAGGATTCTAGCTGCCGAACTTTGGACATACTGCAGTTTGTTCAAAGTAGATTTAGATACTCCAGCGAATAGAGCTTTACAGTAGTCAATTCGAGAGAACACAAATGTGTATCAGCTTTTCAGCCACAGTTAGTAATAACATAGGGCGGAGTCTAGCATATTTCTGAGGTGAAAAAAAAGATGTTTTGACAATATGTGGGTCGAATATTAAGCTAGAATTGAATATCACCCCAAGGTTTTTCAATTTAAACTGAAGCTGAAGTACAGAACCGTTTACAAATAGGGTTACAGGATTGGATTTACGAAGTTGTTTGGGGGTGCCAATAAGCACAAGTTCAGTCTTGTCACAGTTAAGATGAAGGAAATTTTGAGTCATCCAAGTTTGTCAGAGATGCAATTAGAATAGAGACAGCCATATCAGGTTTGTTATGGATGTATATTGAGTATCATCAGCATAGAAATGATAGGTAAGGCCGTGATCTTAAAAGCTGACCAAGTGGAAACATGTAAATGCTGAAGAGCAAGGGACTCAGTATTGAGCCCTGAGGAACACCAGACTTAACAAGACCAATTTCAGACCTATACCCATTAAGAGAGACAAAGTGACAGTGATCAATGAGGTAAGACTTGAACCATTTGAGAGCAGTGTCAGAAACTCCAAACACAGTCTCAAGACGAGAAAGTAGGATGTTATGGTCAACAGTGACAAAAGCAGCACTGAGATCAAGAAGGATGAAATAGAGAGAGAACCAGAATCAGAAGCTATTAGAAGATCCTTAGTGACTTTGATCTGTGCTTTGATGCTGACGGAAGCCAGATTGGAGGGGTTTGAAAAGGTTATTTGCCATGAGGTGGTTATGTAACTGAAATGTGACAGCTCGTTCTTGAATTTTTGCAAGAAAAGTTGGAGATGGGGTGAAAATTGTTAAGATTGTCGAGAGCCATGGTTTTGGCAGGGGGAAGTGCCATTTGACGTGACTTGCAGCATTTCTGTACCTGTATATCCCTGCATACAAATTATATTTAAAATTCGAATTAAATGGTCCTGCAAGTTTTCATATATGTATTAAGCAGTGTGAAATGTATTGCTGTATTGTCAAAATATTTTATTTGGTCTCCACATGTAATCATATAATTCTTAGGTATTTTATAATTAAAATTTAAAGAAACTGTAATGTGTAAAACATAAACCGAAACTCCATTAGAGACTGTGCTGTGTATGTTAGATGCACTTACTGAAGTTCAGTTATACAAAGGTGCCAATAAAATTAAAAAAACATGTATGCTAGGAGACCATTTTTAATCACTGAATAAATCTTTTGAGGGACTCGGAAAGCAAGCAGGATTGAATTGGTAGTGTTCGTGTGGGATGCTTGAGGAGTCACATAGACTATCCATCTGCCCCCACTCCCTCCCACTGACTGAAGTTAATAATTGTCTGCTTCAAATGTAGCTAAATTATAATTAAAGAGTCCAAGCTTTGAGAACTTTCTGTAATGTTCTTTAGAAAACACAGTGGGACTATAACCTCCCACCTGTTGGATGTTATTTACAGAGCTTTCAATCTGTGCTACTTTTAATTTCATAAAGTCATTCATTTTGCAACATTTCTAATTATGTCAGAGTTACATTAAGCAAACTGTAGAGGGAAAAATTCAGGACATTATTAAAAAGCAGAAACATAATTATTAAGCTATTATAAGAACATATTGCTTCCCAGATAGGAGTCAAGTGACTTCCTCATATTTCATCTCATGAATTGCTCTCAATTTAGCAAGGCATATGCTTATCAACAGTTTGCTTTCAAAGTAAAAAGTAAAATAATGCAAATTACAGGAGGAAGAAAAGGACATTATTTAAACATGAGTCTTACCATGGATTAGTTAACACCTTGTAACTCTTCATAATGAACATGCTGGTACAGTGAAAAGGAAAGCATTCATAATGTAAGACTGGAGGCTATGAACTGCTAATGATCTGGTGTCTGTAGCTGGCTATCATAGCTCATAGGTCTAGACTTACATTCTAGAAATTTCATCTTCAGAGGTAGTCTGCTGAAGGTGCTATACAAGACAAACCAGGCTTTGGCTGGTACTGTAATTGTCTCCACCCTCTTCGGGCTTTAACTCCGATTGGTTCACAGTTTCTGTCTCTGCGTCTTTGAAGTGAAAACACATTGATTCCTTCCCTCCAGAGCTCCTGGTAGCAGAGCGCAGAGCCCCACTGTAAAGGAATGCAGAAGTAATGCAGGGCATCTTGCTGGTATGCAAGTGTCGCAGCAAATAATCTAGTTGAGCAAAAAAAAATGCTGTCTTTTAAATAAGCTCTATTACCCAAAAAGACTGGCTGTAATAATATTCTTCAGAAAGGTAGGAGCTTTCTCAAACTGCATGCTCTGTATATCTCTGTTTCTCTTCCTGCATTCTCTGGGTCTGTGATTGAGAGTGCTGCAGGTCTGAGCTCTCCGGTTGCGTTATTGGAATTTCAGTCATGAGCGGACATAAGAGCATAATGTGTTGATGCTGTTTTATTTAGGTTTATCTCTGTAATCTATCTGTCCTTTTGTGTACTTTAAGAAATTGTTTTCTCTGTCATTGAAAGGACTGCAATTTACGTATGCTATGTGTACAAATGAAGTGAATACATTGGCATTTTATCTTTTTTAAATAGCCCACAAACAAGAATACTGTCATGTCAATGTGTTTCTTTTGGTTCTGTGGTACTGATAAGTTTACCATCATAATTGTAGCGAGATAAAGATCAGTTACATGTGACATGCTGGAGGCTCATTTCATAGGCCATTTTACAAATGACAGAAACATTATGATTAATTGTATTTATGTATTTTTCTTCATACTGACTATACATTAAGAATAACATTAATGTAACACAAAATTATCTTCTAATTTCTTCTAAAGTGTAGGTTTGTTATTTTATTTCATGAACGGATGATTCTGGTAATCCTGGAGTAAAAACCCATTATGAGTTTTAATACGAGTTTTATAACTGTATATGCACACCTGAACTTTTAGTTTTGTTTCAAATAATTTACAGTAATGGGTGTCTGTAGATGCTAACCTGTTTTTAATTAGATGCTTAATCACTTTAAAGAATAATTATTTTGTACAGAGTCCTGAAAAAATTAAGTTGAACACTACCAAATATTGAATTATCCCTGCTTCCCCATAGCTCTTATATGCCTTTGTTACAAATGTCAAACACTTTGCACTTTGCCCTTGACCCTGCATAATGATCAAGCCAATCAGACTACTGCTTTGTTTGCTCCTGTTCCCTTTCTTATATTGTTTTGTACAATTTGGTTATAACAGGGATTTTAAGTACTGCACATTGTTTTTCATTATTCATTTCAATGAATGTCTTGCATATGCCCTTCATGTTTTAAATATAATGCTAGCTGAGGGTTAGCTAATTTTCAGTGATTGTTTTTTCACCTTATTCTGTCTTTCAGAAACCATTTGTGTAGCAATACATTGTCCAGTTAGCAAGAAACAGTGTAGATGAAATGATTAGCAGAAGCTAAATTTTAATGGGGATCTGCACAAATTAGAAAAAATAAGAAGTGAGGTGACACAATGCACCCCTAGTTTCAGAGAGCATTTACCTCTCTGTTACTAACATTCTCCTCCTTAGCCCTTTAGCACAGCAATAGCCAAAATGTTTAGCAATGTTTATATTTCCCAGAAATTCCTTGTGGCCTGTGGCTGCTGATTTGCTTGGTTATGCTGCAGACTACTTAAGGCAGACAGCATTAAACACATTTAGAAGGTGGAAAGGTCAAGTTTGTGCTTTACTTTGCTAAGTAAACTCTATGTCATCAACTTTGTGTATGACTAGCTTCCCATTGCTTTGAATTTTAACGTAGTATCATAAAGGTAGCCAGTATTGTGCTGGATTGCATTATAAAGTTGTTACTGTGACTCTGACCTCAGCATAAAATTGTCCATGTGACCAGCAAAGGTCTTGATGGTTAGAAATTTATTAAAGCACTTTGGGGCCAAAGTTCATATTTAAGACAGCATTTTGATAAAAAATCAGCATCAAAACACAAAAATAATTATATATATTTGTCCTTGAATGTTGTCAAAATAAATATTTTCTTTCTATTTGAAGAAGACAAAGTTTGATACACTTATTGGGCAAGTTTGTTGTAATTTAATTGAAAAAGTGTGAGTAATGCTGTATACAGCAAATTGTAGTCAAGATTCTGGAGTATGACCTAAATATGCCAATGATGCACAGAAAGAAATTTCTGCAACAGAATACACTTTAAGGAAAGAAATATCACCTCTGTCTGAGATCTCAGTTTCTTTGGGTAGTACTCTCCTGAGTCCTCAATTCTGGAAGCTGTGTTCCCTAATGGAGCTCGATTTGGAAAGCATATATGTCCTCATTAGACCAATTTACATTGTATTACCTTAAGAAAGGATTCCTCTTTTATTCTTCAGGTGTAAGAGTCAAGAGACCTTGTAAAAGGAGAGTTTGGTGTAACATTCATGCCATAAAACAATATATGTATTACAGTACCTTCAAAAAAGAAAGGAAGTGGTCTAATATTAATATGATTTTGTTTACCGTTTTGGGATTAATAACAAACGATTTTTTTAAGATTAACAAAGATTAACAATTCTGTGATTATTTTCTTAAAACAATATATGGTTTCCATAGGCTTGATATATGTTATAGATGGGGGAAGAAAGGTTTACCTCTTTCTTTAAATAATTCCTTATAAGCCTAAAATTTACTACTCTTTAAATATTAAAAAAACAGCTTTATTTTTCGAATTGTTGCTATTCTAACAAAAACAAATTCATTTACTATTGTTTCTTATCTTACCTTTGGGTATCTAATGTTGTGTTGTCCTTCAAACGTTGCTATCGTATCATTAGGAACCTTGAGACAGTATTAAATTCATGGGCAGAAAAGCTCTGAAATCCATCCTTTCTTGAATCCTGATACTTGAAACGTTGTTTCTGGTTTATTTTGCATTGCGTGAGCCATTCTGAGGAAAGTACTTTTAAGGTTATATCTGGAGGAGTACCATGAAATGCTTTGCTTTGCAGTCCTTGTTTAAGTCAAAGAATAAGTCTTATTCCTTTTCATTGTAACCATTTTAGTGTTGGAGGGAAAAGCCTTCACAGATGTGGTATAGCTTGCATACAGGCTGTTTGCAGACTAATCATGAAGTGGAAAGTGGGTGTCTTTGGTTGGCATTTTGTGTTGCAAATGGCAGGTCTCAGACTTGTTGTGCCACGTGTTCATTAGAAAAATACCACTTTAACTTTAAATACCACTTTAAAGATTCCATGATTATCCCTTCCTGAATATGCCACTTCAATTTCCCTGAATGTAAGAAAACATGTAAGTCTTATACATAGACAAATTTAAAGTCTCACTATTCCACGACATTTTTAAGTTTCTGATTTATGTCCCTGAGAGACCTATTTCATTTCTGCTTCATTTCTGTTTCTAACAATTTGTGCTGATTTATTATGGAACTAGTATCTAGATATACACCTTTTTAATGAAAAGATTTAGAAACTTTAAATGATATAATAGGTATATATTTTCATGTTAAATTAAGAATATCTGCTCTTCAACAGATGGTTGTGGATTAAAGATTTTCTTTGACATTTAACATTTAATCTCATGAAAGAAATAAGGCATCTATTACAAACCAGTTTCTGTCTACCAATGAAAGAGATGTCCTTAGCTTCTGTAAGAACTTGTAGTATCATTTAAGTGCTGATTAGTCTTGAGGCATTGTCTTCTTCATAGCACATATTCAATAGATCAAAAGACAGAATGGATCAAGTATTTCACAGCATAGCTGTGTCATCTATAAAGTGTTAATACGTTCTTTCTAGTCTACAGAAATGCAGTAAAACCCATTGTTTTATACTTGAAAACCTTAGTAAAACACAATTTTGGAGATTTTTTTATTAATAATTACTCAAGATGTGCTTCTAGGCCAGAGCCGTCTCTGTTCGTGTGAAGTTACAACATTTGCGTGAAGCTAAAACAGGATCATTAGCTTCTGTCAGACTCTTCCTCCTTCTTTTATGAAACCATGAGCTCTCCTGTACTGCCCGCTTCCTGCCTAATAGGTACAGTACATGTTTTTTTGTAGGGTGAGGCTTTTTTTACACCTGTCTTGTACAGGGTGATCTGGGATTTAAAGTACAAAAAATGAGGATGCTATAACAGTTTGACCTAAATCCCAGTAACAAGATCACTTTTGAAATTGCTGCATCAATTAATGTATAGGTATTTTAGATGGTGCCATAAATTAAAAAGTAATACTACAATTATTCTTATTGTACTTAAAATTAGAAATTAATTGTAATCAAAATATTTTGTATTCTTAAATGTCTAACTGAAATATCTGCTTGACTGCATATATGAAACGATGCCATGATCTGTTGTTCTAAACTTATACCTAGAAAATTATCATAATATACCTTGTATATTATTAGTGAGATTTACCGCAACCCGATTGAACAAGTATTTTTAACATGATCTTTTGTTTTAAAAACTCTTGTTTTCAAAACCAGAATTTTGAAAATACATTTGTCGAATCAATGCCACTGCCTCACAGCTCTATGGCCTGTGTTCACAGGCTGTCTGGGTTAATTGGTGTCTCTGACATCATCCCGCTTGCATGTACGGTATGTGCCCTGCAATGGTTGCATCCCATACAGGGTTGGGGCAGGCTGGAGCCTAACACTCTGGATGGTTAAGTGGTTATTAAAAATGTACAGATGTTAAATCACCTCTGTAAGGAACGGCCTTTAGGATTCATCCTGTGACCTCATTGTTTCCAAAAGTTGTACCATGAGAAACATTATGTATTCTATACAGTGCTCTATAAGGATCAAGCATTCACCAATAGCGATAAGAGTTTATTGCCCTGATTACTACAATATTATATTGGATACAGTATGTGCTAAAACCTAATAAAAGCTATAGAGGTTATCTTTGCGTATCAATTCACACTCAGAGTTTTAATTTTGATCCATAGTGTCATGATTATTTGTGCTTTTATATTGAATTGCACATTCTGATGCACAGTACATAATGTAAATTTACTTGGCTGTTTGCATTAAGAATAAATGAAAGATTTTCTTAATGAGTAAAATCTTGATTATTATGTATCAATATTAGTATTGATTAATAAGTAGTCAGTAATATAATACTGTGGCAATTCAAAAGGTTTTAAATGAACAGTTGTTTTTAAATTTCCCCCAGCCTTTCTGGATCATTTATTCTTCTTCTGTGGTCTTTCAGGCCAGTCCCGGGCAAACATGATCCCCCTGAAACAACCCAGGAATCCCAAAACTTCAAATGATACCCTGGCCTCCGCTGATCTTGATGGCTCAGACACTGGCTCAAAAGCCACACCTCCACCTTTGCCCAAGAAGACTATCACAAGGGCCAATACAGAGCCTTCTGCACTGGGTAAAGACGCAGCTACCACCTTGAAGCCAAAAGCAGAGGCCAAGCCAGGAGGCACTAACCTGAGTGTCGCGAACCCCCTGTATGACCTGGACTCCACCTGGGAAACAGCCAGCCAGAGCTCCTCCCTCAGCTCTGAGGCCAGGCTGCTAGACCAGGAGTCTGGAGACTCCCTGGAGAGACCAGCAGTTGGAAAGGGAAGGCCAGCCAACAGCCTGTCCTGCCTGACTTCATCCTCTGCTACCTCTGCAGGCCGCGAAAAAAGGGGTTACCGTAGTGCAGAATCCCTGGCAGGCCGGGGCCGGACGGCAAGCAGAGGTGGGGTACCCAAGCCTCAAAGACAAGTACTGTACAAGGGCATGGAGAACTGGGAGGAGGTGGTGGGCCGGATTCGTGGTCTGCACACTGATACACTGCGCAAGCTGGCCTCCAAGTGTGAGGACCGCTTCATGGCAGGGCAGAAGGACCAGCTGCGTTTTGGCACAGACAGCTGGTCAGATTTCCGGTTGACCACAGGAAAGCCCTGCTGTGAGGCAGGCGATGCAGTCTATTACACTGCTTCCTATGCTAAGGACCCACTTGTCAACTACGCTATCAAGGTGAGTACTTTCGCACTGCATGCTGTTGTCTACTGACTTGCTTATTGTAAAAAAAGAATAAGGGATCATTCTTTTTAATTTGCTGTAAATGTTTTACATTTTTATAAAACAAGAAAATAAGTATCCATACGGTTAATTTAGCTCTGACAATACTACAAAGTGAGAAAGTGCTAGTGAGAAGAAGGGAGTGAAAACCTGCATTATTTATAGACCAACCGATGAAATCATTAAAAACACAGAAGAACTGCGCTTCAAAGCTAATTCTAAAATTGCCAGGCTGAAAAAAAAAGCTTTTTTGGTGACCATTTTTAAACAGCATTAGTAGTTAGAGCGTTGCACTGCTGATGAGCGGGAAATAGAACTGAAGACAGCAACAGACAAGAGAGACAGTGGTTTGGAGATACTCAGTAGGTTCTGAATTTTAAATAGAACTGTGGTTATAGATCTCGGTTGTTGCTATGTCTTGAGGTCAGTGCATTTAAAGATCAAACTTGTTATGTAGGACAAGGAGTAATACAAGGAGTCTGAGTATCTCAGAGGGATAACTGTGAAATACCTTATATTAAGCAAAAAAAGGACATCTCATTCAACCTGTAGTCTTGACTACTTAGTAACTGTGCTGGTCTGACCACACTTTAAATGTGAAAGCATTCAATAGTTGCAATTCAAAGATCACAAAGCATGAACAAGCATATACATTTATGAGTTGTTTTGTCCCAAGAGTTAAAAATTGAGAATCTCATTCCTTGTATGTTGGAACTGTATCATAACTAGATAATATCTAGGCAGTGGAATTGTTCATATCTAGAATTGTATTATAGTTTGATAGTTTGGATATGTTGGCCCTTGACCCCGGCTTTAGCATTATTTAATATTTCACATGAAAGGTACTAGAAATAAATATGTTTATACATTAAATAGGTTTATATTTGAAGGTCACTCATGTATAAACAAAGCCTTCTGCAATGCAGTAATATTACAAATTCAGTATCATAGAGGCTTCAAGTGGCCAAATTAATTGGTTATGGTCATATATTCCCCATTTTCTGTAAAATCTATTCATCTTCATCAACTCTGCACCTGTACAGGTTCCTCTGGGCAAAAAAAATCATCATGTCCTATTGTTCTGTTATTCAGTATAAATCCCAGAGCACTAAATTATACTTTTTTAACGCTGTAGTCTGTCGAACATAAATATTTTGACATTAAAATTAAGCATTAATTTCCTTAGGTGTGTTTCCATTTTAGTAAAATAAAAACTAGATAAATAAAGCATTTAATACATTAGTATCTCATTTATATGTATTTTATCACTGTCTTGTTACTTTCCCTGTTTAATATGATGTGTGATCACATATATCACTGAACTCTATAAATATCTCTGATGTTGCCAAATATTGAAACCATCATCCTGAACTGAAT